AAAATCTTAAAAAAAAAAAAAAAAAAGAAAAGAGGAAAGTTCTCAAATCAATAATCTAAATTCTTACCTCAATACCAGAAAAAGAAATGAGCCCAAAACAAGAAGGAATCAGTGAAATATCAAACAGGAAAATAAAATAAAATAATTTAAAAATTTTTAAATTAAGGAAATCAATGAAGCTAAAACCGGTCCTGCTAAAAGATTAGTAAAATTGATAAACCTCTAAAGACTGATAAACATAAAGAGAAGATGAAAATCATCAATATCAGTAACAAAACAGGGGAGAGATCCCTAGAATCCCATGGCCATTAACTTCACACTCCTTAAGTTTCACAACTTAGAAGGAATAGGCCAATTCCTGGAAAACCACAAACTACCAAACATAACCAAGATGAAATAAACAATTTAAATAGTTGTATAAGTATTAATTGAATTTGTAATTTTAAAGTTCCCAATAAAAAAAACTTCAGACTCATATAGGTTCACTAGAGAATTCTACCAAACATTTTAAGGAGAATTAATGCCAATTTTACACAATCTCTTCCAGAAATTAGAAGAGGAGGAAACACTTCCCAACTCATTTTATGAGGCTACTAATACAATGATATCAAAACCTGACAAAGACAGCACAAAAAAAAAAAAGTTTAGACCAGCATCTCTTACGAACTCACGTACAAAAATCCTCAACAATATATTAGCATTTCAAATCCAGTGATATATAGAAAGAACTGTATACCATGGCCAGTTGGATTTATTCTAGATATGCAAGGCTGATTCAACATTTGAAAACCATGTCAACAGGGTAAAGAAGAAAACTCATATGATCTTATCAACTGATACAATAAAAGAATGACAAAATTGAACACCAGTTTATGATTAAAAAAAAAAAAAAACTCTGGCTAACTAGAAATAGAAGGTAAGTTTCTTTCAAGCTTTATAAATATCATCCACAAAACCCTAGAGCTAACATATTTAACAGTGAAAGACGGAATGCTTTTTCTCTAAGATCAGGAACATGAAAAGAATGTCTGCTCTCATCACTATTACTGAACACAGTACTGGAAGTTCTTATGAGAGTAATAAGCCAAGAAAAAGAAATAAAAAGCATACAGACTGTAAACAAAGGAATAAAACTGACACTATTTGCAGATGACATGATCATCTACACACACAAAAAAAATCCCAAGAATCCACCAAAACCTCCTAGAACTAATAAGTTTAGCAAGATTGTAGAATACAAGATCAACTCACAAAAATCAATCACATTTCCTTTTTTTTTTTTTAAGATTTATTTACTTATTTATTTTAGAGAGAGAAACAGACAGCACAAGCAGGAGGGGCTGAGGAAGAGGGAGAGAGAACCTCAAGCAGACTCTGCACTGAGCACAGAGCCCAACATGGCGCTCAATACCAGGACCCTGCAATCATGACCTGAGCCGAAACCAAGAGTTGGTGGCTTAATGGACTGTGCCACCTAGGCACCCCAATCAATCACATTTCTATATGCAAACAACAAAAATGGGAGACATAAGTTAAAAGCAAAATATCATTTACAATTACTCCAAGGAAAGGGGTGCCTGGGTGGCTCAGTCCATGCATCAGACTCTTGATTTCAGCTCAGGTCATGATCTTGGGGTCGTGGGATTGACCCATGTAGGGCTCCACGCTCAGCACAGAGTCTGCTTGTCCCTCTCCCTCTGCTCCTCCCCCCGCACTTATTCTCTCTCTGTCTCTAAAATAAATAAATAAAAATCTTAAAAAAAGTTACTCCAAGGAAATGAAATAGTCCGATATAAATTTAATGAAATATGTACAGGATCTGTATCCTACAAATTACAAAATGTTAATGAAAAAAACTGAAGAAACCCTAAGTTAATTGAGAAACATACTATACTCATGTATTAGAAAACTCAACAAGATGCCAATTTTCCCCAAATTGATATATAGCTTTAATGCAATTCCTATAAAAAAATCCCAGCAAGAGTTTTGTAGATATAGGCAAATTTATTCTAAAATGAAAATGGAAAGGCACATGACCTGGAATTGCTGAAGAAATTTTGAAAAAGCAGAGTAAAATGAGAGGAATCACTATACCTCATGTTAAGGCTTACTACAGAGCTACAGAACAGTGTGATACTGGCAGAGGGATAAACACACAGATCAGTAGGGCCACACAGATACATCTAACTGATTTTTGCCTGCAAAAGCAATTCAATTGAGGAAGGAGAGACTTTTCCACAAATGGTGGTGCTACAGCAATTGGACTCCATAGCCAAGAAAGAAAAGAGACGAGACAAGACGAGATGAGACAAGATGAGAAGAAAAATGCCTCAACCTAAAATCTCACAACTAATACAAAAATTTACTCAAAATCGATCATGGACTTAAAAGCAAGATCACGGACTTACATTTACTTAAATGTAAACCTATAAAACTTTTAGAAAACAAAGAAGAAAATCTTTAGGATATAGGACTAGACAAAAAGTTCTTAGACTTACCACCAAAAACACAATCCATAAAAGGAAAAACTGATAAATGATCTTATCAAAATTAAAATAATTTGCTCTGTGGAAGACCTTATTGAGTGATGAAAAACAAGCTACAAGCAGGGAGAAAATATTTTCAGGCATATCCAACAAAGGATTTTAACCCATAATATAAATATATTTTTTTTAACTCCTTAAACTCAATAGTAATAAAACAAAGAATCCAATTAGAAAATGGACAGAAGAAACAGATATCTCACGGAAGAGGACACACAGATCCCAATTAAGCACATGAAAAGATGCTCAACATTAGTAGCCATTAGAAAAATGCAAATTTAAACCACAATGAGATCATCTACACACCTATTAGAATGGCTAAAATAAAAAACAGTGATAATACCAAATGCTGGTGAGCATGTAGAGAAATGAGATCACTCATACATTATTGATGGGAATGTAAACCACTCCGGAAAAAGAACATGCCAGTTTCTTATAAAACTATATATTCACTTACAACTCAGCAGTAACAATCTTGAGCATTTATCGCAGGGAAATGAAAACTTTTGTTCACAAAAAAACCTATACACAAATGTTCAAACAGCTTTATTTGTAATAGCCAAAACCTGGAAACAACCTAAAGGTCCTTCAACGCGTGAATAAACAGTGGTACCTCCATACTATGGACTACTACTCAGCAATAAAAAAATTAAAAAAATTAAATTAAAAAGCCTACTGGTTCATACAAAAATTTGGATGGGTCTCAAGGGAGTTTTGCTGAGAAAAATGCCAATCTCAAAAGGTTATACACTGTACCATTCCATTTAAATAGTATTCTTGAAATGACAAAATTATAGAGATGAACAGATTAGTGGTTGCAAAGAGTTAGGGCGAGGGGCATGGAGGAGTGCAACCGTGGCTATCAACGGCACAAGGGATCCTTGTCATAAAACTGTTCCGTATCTTGACTGTGGTGGCCACATGAACCTACACAAGTGCTAAAAACGACACACGTGTGCGCGCATGTATGTATATATGAGTGCATGTAAAATTGGTGAAATATGAATAAGGTCAATGGATTATATCAATGTCAGTTTTCTGGTTATAATATTCTACTATAGTTATGCAAGATGTTACTATTGGGAGCAATTAGTTGAAAGATACATGGAATCTATTATTTCTTACCATTGCATGTAAATCTGTAATTATCTCAAGATGAAAATTTTAACAAAATCAAGCAAGCAATATGTGAAAATCAATGTGAAACAGGAAGTCCAATCCAAGATTTCAGAGGTTTTGCAGTGCCCCATAGAAACACACATCCCATTAGTAAATAACTGTGCTTATTCCTCACAAAACAGTTTGTGAGAAGGAAATCTGAAAGACTCTTTAATGAGCCAAGAGACTGGGTTTTACAAATGAGACCATTTAAACTGTCAGAGCAAGATGCTGTTCATTGGCAGGTTTAACATTTCAGTTGTTCCCATCTTCTCCTTCCTTCTGCCCTGTGGGGTGGGAAGAAGCTTCTGATGAAGAGTAGATCAGTCAGTTAAAAGAAAAAAAAGAAGCTACATTTTTTGCACATCTATGTAGTGGGTCTATCTGTGATCCTGCTATATATAATTAAAGATGCTAATACTAAAACCTTCTGTAATAGGATCACTGCAATTCCATTTCTAAAACTCTGTAGTAGATTCTGCTTAGATTAAGATGTACCAAGGAAGAGTTCAAAAGACTAGGGAAGATGAATGCAGCCAGAAACTCTCAGAGGAGGCAGACAGGCAGGTTGCTCTCTTAAAACTTTATTTAATAAAGAACATTCTCTAGAATATATGATGGACTAGTTCTACATTTGCATTTAATAAAGCTGAACATGACATTAGTTTAATGTGAAATGTTAAACCATTTAGTGTACAAAACTGTTTATGTAGCTGTCACGCAAAAACAAAGTATGAAGCTCAGCATTTTCACCAACCATCTGTGAGTTTTAGAAAAGTCATTTGAATAAACAGATTTCTTTAGTATATATTTCCAACACATTAGGTACATAGGTAATACTCAAACCTCTTTCAACCTTTCTTGCATTCCAAATAAAATCTTAGTACAAACATCAAAAACACTGGCCATCCCAAAAGACTGCCTACCAAACTCATTAACAGAATACGAGTTCTAAAATAATGCTTATTACGTAGGATTTATTAAGTAAAATAAATCCAAGCACTATCAGTTACTGTAAAATTCATGTAAGAACATTTAATAGTCCAGCTCTAAGCATTCTTTTTAAGTTTCTCACATTAATGAGTGCTGTTTACAGAACTAAAAGTCTTATCATTCAAGTGTCAGTCATTACATTTCAGAAAAAGGACATCATTCCTGATATCTTTCTATAAAAGAAAAAACTCACAATGAGTAGAACCAGTATCCATAACAGGCTAAACTGGGTAAAGGGGGGCACTTTGGGGAGGGAAGGGTGTTTCACTTTCACAGTAGGAATTATGTAAAGATCATACGGCCCACACCGCAAAATCCATGAGAAATGCTCAAATTTGAACCCTGCATTATTTTAAAATCCATGTTCATGAGTTTATATTGCATCTGTTTGTACCAATACATGGCAGATATCTATCACTCTTTCATATACACTGAACCATTCTCAGGAAATATGGGAGAGAAAAAGTCCTTACTTATGTGCCACCTAATGCAACTTTTATTTAGAATGTAAATTCTTCACGTCAACCATTTCAAATACCAAGTATGTTCCTCCATTAATCCTCCCCTTTCTCCTCTCCTATCCCAGACCCCCCAAAAAGAACCCTTTATGTCTGTTAAGCCTCATAACTGACGTTGTTGAGTACCACCTCCTCTGGAACAAAAGTACACTCTCCACTGTACCTTCCTTTTCTTTAACAATTGAGCAGAATCATAATGTTTTCAGGCATGTGTCTAGATCTCTAGGTCATTAAGCCTGCTGCTGGCATGACTGCTGGCTTTGCAGAATGGCTGCTGGTCTACAATGACTACTACCCAGTAGCTACTGTTGTCATCCCCACCCCCACCCCCAGAATTCTGCTTATTATCAGGGAAATCAAAAGGCTATGCGTGCAAGTTGGAGGTGGTGCTTCCTGCCTGCCCTATTAGATCTTGCTATGCACTCTGTTTAGCATGGCTTTGCTCATTTCCTTGTTTATTGTAACTGCGGCAGGAAGAACTGTTCCTGTTTCCAGGAACCACCTTGTCCCTGGGAAGGGATATGGTGGAGAGAGGAACAGTTGATGAAGAGTCAGTGGAGGGGCTTGGCAGACCAGATGAATCAAGGTAAGCCTCACTCTCTGGATCCTTCACATGGTCCTTAATGCCCTTGAAGAAGACACAGAATAACTCGAGAATGTTCGAAGCAAGAGAAACCAAGGACACCACCAGCATGAAGAGAATGAAGATGCTTTTCTCTGTGGGGCGAGAGAGGTAGCAGTCCACCTGATGCGGGCAGGGGTCTCGTTCGCAAGTGTAAACCGCATTCAGGCTGAATCCATAGATGTACCACTGGATCAGCAGGAAGGCCACCTCAAAAACAGACTTGAAGAAGATGCTAATGGCATAGATTCGCAGCAAGCCCCTTCTCATAGTCACCTTACAGTGTTCTTCAACGCTATATTTGAACTTCTTGATCTCAACTTCGATTTCCTCCAAGTGCACCTCCATGTGGACACCAGTGTTTTGAGCGACTCTGAGTTCCTCCCCTCTCTTTTTCAACTTCTCTTCCTTGCGGATCATGTAGAATACGTGCACTAGGTACAAGAGTGAGGGGATGGACACAAATATGATCTGCAGGACCCAGAAGCGCACATGAGAGATCGGGAAGGATTTATCATAGCAGACGTTTTCACAACCAGGCTGCCGAGTATTACAACGAAAGGCAAACTGCTCATCATCCCAGGCTGACTCAACCGCTGTCCCCAGTAGCAGGATTCGGAAAATGAAAAGGACCGAGAGCCACACCTTCCCTCCAGGGGTGGAGTAAGCTTGAACCTTGTCAAGGAGTTGGCCTAAGGCACTCCAGTCACTCATGTTGCCTGTTCGCTGTTCTTTCGCTTAAAAGAAGTAGGACACCAAGTGATTGCACTCCTTGGAGGACGAAGTAAAATGAAAAAGTAAGTTCAAGCACTCAAAACTTTCTGAAGTTTAAAAGTCTGCTACACCCTTTGGTACCTTCCTCACTCTTCTTCCTAATGAAAGACAACTGCTGATACCTAATAAAAGCTTATATGGATTCATTTTCATACATGGTGAGCAAATACTCTTAAATAAGGATGTACATATATCAATAATGGGACAAATTACATAAATGAGGGAACAACTTAGGGGCGCCTGGCTGGCTCAGTTGGTTAAGCGTCTGCCTTCGGCTCAGGTCATGATCCCAGGGTCCTGGGATCGAGCCCCCCATCGGGCTCCCTGCTCAGCAGGGAGCCTGCTTCTCCCTTTCCCTCTACTGTTCCCCCTGCTTGTGCTCTCTCGCTCTCTCTGTCAAATAAATGAAATCTTTAAAAAAAATAAATAAATAAAATGCACTGATGATCAACATAAAAAAATATGGTCCAAATGAAGACAAAATCTACTGTCCTGTTTTACTAGTGATAGACTGCTTGCTACAGATTTCTTTACTGAAGGAAGGAATGACTGTGCCTAGCTTTCTCAGGGCCAATTTCTTCCAGGAAATTGTGTAGATACCAATGAAGTCAGCATACTTAAGTTTTGCAGACATTGGTGGGTAAACAATGTATAGAATGCTAACAATAGCAGAGCTAATATAGAGGCAAGTTGCTCACTGCTTTCTGGGAGCGCTAACAACAACCAGACCCTCAAGTTAGAAACATTACTACTAAAGTGATTATAAAACCACTGCTTAAGAATGTCTGATTCCATTTTGCTTTTATTCATCAATAAGCTGATAAATCGTACATGCATATATAAAATGTAAAATCTGTAATTCTTGATTTTTGGCCCTACTTTCACTTTTTTTGAAGATTTTATTTATTTATTTGACAGAGCAAGAGCACAAGCAGGGGGAGTGGGAGAGGGAGAAGCAGACTCCCCGCCAAGCAGAGAGCCCGACGTGGGGCTCGATCCCAGGACCCCGGGATCATGACCTGAGCCGAAAGCAGCCACTTAACCGACTGAGCCTCCCAGGCGCCCCTGGCCCTACTTTTAAATTTACCTATAAAAGAAGAACAATCAGAGTACTGAAAACTGGTGAAGAGAGTCAAAACACCATGTTTTCTTCCAACTCATGAGAAATATGCCTGGGATTTAGGACAGAAACATGCTTAAGGAAACTCCAAAGTTCAAAAGCAACAGAAATTATGTTCCATATAACAGGGTTAGGCTACCAAGGCATAAGGTCCTCCAGCTTACTACAATGTTGCCAAAATGTGAAAGACTGATAGGGAGAGTGAAACAAACTCAGAAGCTCTCTGTTCAAACAACTGAACTGGATTACCTCTAGGGAAGTCATGATCATACATTCTGACAGATACGCTCACACATATGCAAACAAAAATGGTACAACTAAAATCTGAAACAAGTTCCAAGTCACCACTTTTTGCCGTAACCATATCCATGTAGAAAACTGAAAATTACATTCAACATAGGTAGCAATAGTTTTTCTTTTCTTAAAAACTTATTTTCAAAGTATCTAGTTTAGTTAAAACTTATTTTATCTTTTATGCATTGTGGAGAAAACTAGAGAATGTCAGATTCACTTTCTCTTACCACAGAAAGAGATGAGTATCAAACATAAAACAACAAATATTCTTGAAAGAGCAAGTCTGGTTAGCCTTTATATCCAAGTACCCAGCACTTTATCTTACATATGATAGCTATGTAACAAAAATGTCCACAGAAATGAACTGTACCATCTTGTTGTACAGGCATGGAACTGTTTACCACCATCATAAAGGAAGCTGAATGACCTCAAACACACCACCTTGAGAGCTAAAGCAAAAGAGAAGGAGAGGACAAAAATCCCAGAAGTGGCCATGCCTTTGAAACAACTGTGGAATAGAAGTCTCAAGCAGTTCACTGTTTTGAGAGAATCAGCCAAGAAACACTGTATAACCTGAACAAAATTCTTGTGTGGCTGGTTATTTGATGTCAAGAATATCACTGAGGCATTCTAGTTGAAATCCTCTTGTAGGAATATTCTCCAAAGACCTCAGTGAGGTCATCAGTTTGCACATAATAGATATTTCAAACATACTCTGCTTTCAATCACAGGATTGAGGAAAAGAAAGATGTATTACATACCATGCAGCCTGGCAGCTTTCCAAGGCTTTCAATATAAAGTTTTAATTCCATGCTTCATCTCCTAACTTCAAAAACAAAAAACCCCAAAACAACAACAAAAACCCTGCTCCTGTCACACCTAATTATTTGTAGTTTCTCAAATGAATCTTCACATATACTTGCTTACACTCTGCCTCCAGCATTCATCCTTTCTTCATTCATTCATTTATTCAAACAACAAACAGTTTTCAAGCTCCTACCCAGTGACAGGTACTGTGCTAAACAAAACAGGGCAATTCAAATAGAGTATTTATTTGGGTGAGGGAGTACCCATGGAGGTGACTTGTTTTTAGCTGGAACTTAAATCACAAGAAGCCAACCCTGCTACTTCAAGTTATTTCTTCTTTTTCCTTTAAAACCCTCCTTTGGGAAGCACTCCAAGATCCCCCAGCTTATTTTCTATGTTCCTTTTTTGTGGTCCCTAGCACTCTATACACACCTCCAACCAGGATCTTAGCATACCTGCATGGGAATCTGGGGTTTGCCATTCAGCCTCACTTCCCACCTCAAGACTGTAAGATCCATAAGCCTAAGCGCTTCACATAACTCTATGCCCCTAAGACCTAGCAGAAAGACACTCCATAAAGGTAGGCTAAATGAGTTAGGCACTTGAGCTGCTCTAAGTACCTCTTAAGGATCTTACAGGGACCAAGAAGAAATAAAGCCATGGACACACAGAGAATAGAGATATTTAAATTTTAACTAAAAACATCACAGAAAATAAAGACTGAAATAGTATCTTGTTAAAAAGACCACCTGAGTTTTGAAATGAGTGACCTATTTATTTCTTAACATTCTCATGCACCGACAGCCTATGAACTACTCAAGGGCAGAGACCACACTCTAACCACTATGCTGTCATGAGCCTTTTTCTTCTAGAATGTGGGCTCTCCACAATCATGAACCATGCCCTTTTTGTTCTTTATCCCAAACATCCAGCAGAACTCACTACAGCAGGTGCTTTAATAAATGTCTGCTTAATGAATTAACTTTAAGTTCTAAAACTCGCTCCTGTGGTTTCTCTTGAGCTAGAACTAACAAAGATCCCTTTATACATCAACAAAGAATGTATTTAAATGGCATTGATAATAAATCAATATGAATTTGAAAGATCTGCTTCAGATAAGTCACATAGTGGGTAAGTGCCTATGGAAATTTAAACACCAATGACATGAAAAATGCAAATCAATGAATTATTTTAAGAGAAATTATACATCATTCTCTAACAAAACACGACAAATTTTATATTCAACACTGTGTTTATAAAGAATAGAACAAACTGTTATATTACCTAGTACACAGAATATGTAAATGAAACTTGACTCCACATTTTAAATGAGAAAATTTAAATTTTCACTGAAAAAGCAAGGTAAAGGGCAGCATGAATCGCTCCTGAACAGGAAAACTTGATTACATTCTAAGTACAATAAGCCCCAAAAGTAGAATTTAAATCTAATGGCATGGATAATATTAATATAATGACTTGTGAATCACATCCTTCTAGTTATTCTACTAGCTGTATTTGAACAAAGAGGCACCTAAAGCAATAGAAAATATCATAAATGTATAAATAGATGTGACAAATAATAGATGTATATAATACAATATAATCTGGCTAAATTTTCTCTTGAACTCTAAACAACCAAAGAAAATGCAGAAATTTCTAACAAAATTATTTCTTACTTTCTGAAACAAATTTAAAAACCTGATTATTAGAGGACTGTACCCCAAACAATTTAAAATACAAGATATGTACTGGTTATTTTTCGTACTCTCATTGCCAGATCTATGTGGTTTCATAAGAAAGGAAACAAAGTGTTTCTAATTAGAAAGTCTTTAATTACATAAAATTACTTAATTGATGATACCTTTTAGAAACCCAGAAGCACTTCCTTCAGACACAATCTTGATTTCAAACAAATAATAATAAAGCAAAGTGAAACTCAAAGACTGTCACACATCCAGAAGAAGGGTAAGAACTTCAGATCTAGAGCCAAACTGCCTGAATTTAAATCATGGCTCTACCATTTACTAGGTAAGTGACCTTTGACAAGTTACTTAACTTCTCGGTGCCTCAATTTCCTTTTCTGAAAATTGTGTCTAACGTCACTTATTCCTGAGATTGCTATTAGGACTGAATAAGGGGATACAAGTAAAATGCTCAGAACAGCACATGAACTAAATGTTACTACTATTATTACTATTATCAGGGAGAAAGTTCAAAATGCTCTAGGCATTCCCAAATATGTTTCCAGAGGAACTCAGAGAACATGGGGTTTGTCCCTGGGAGGTGAGGGGAGGGGGGGGTGTGCCTTCTCCTGTCCCTAGGGAGAACTAACAGTCATTATTATAAAGCCCAGACTTACAAAGGCAGTGGAGCTGAACTTCCCATCCAATAGGCTCATGTCAAAGAGAGCTGATGTTCTTCCAGGAGCAGAGGATCCTCCAGGACTAGGAGGATCACAGAGCTGGGGCTTCTGCATGAGGCAGAGGGGTGTCCAGGACTTTGGACAGTGGTGTTACTTGGCTAGATTCCTCCAGTCTGATCACTAAGCACCATAGTCTGGAGAGCTGGGGCCAGGGAAACAATGCCCACTGGAGGGTAGTGCCTGGCAAAAGGTTTAATGGTAACCAGAGTAACAAGCAATGGTAACCATGAGAACAACAAGGCACTTAAGGATTAGGCCTCTTCCCCATTTGCCTGGCACTTCATAAACCAAAGAAGGCTTATATCAGTCAATGGGAAGCAAAGGAGCTCCAATGCCAGAAGCCACATGGTATGG